TGTTTTCGGACTACGTCCGAACGGGGACTAACAAATTAAGCTATACACATACAATATTAACAAATTTAATTCAGTTAAATTGTCAAAAATCTCAATGTGAGAATATACTTTCTTTTAAATTAGCGAAATTGTGACTTAGCTAAATAGCAGGCTAGCTAAAAGGACATGTTTTACACTGGTCTCTACATGAATCTGATAGTGTGCATACAATGTAAGAAAACCAGAGTGAATTAAAACTACAGCAAGACACTACCAGTACCTGGATAAGCTTAAGAGCAAATTCTGTAACATTATTTTCTTTTTTCTCCTCTTTCCTTTTTCCTCTCTTGCTTTTGTTTTTATTGGTTTCTTTTACGGTTTCTTCAGTATTCTGAATTTTCTTTGCGACAACAGGGATAAGTTCAACATCAGTCCAGGTCAATAAGTTATTAAACACCTTCATTAGTTTGTCAATGTCTTGATCCTGTAGGAGATTCAGAAAATACAAACAAAATAGTTTTTTATTACTAATATATTTTTACATTTGAGAATATTCAGCATTGGAATTTAAGATACTGCAAAACCATTTATTTTCACTGGCATTTAAGTTCGTTATTTCAATGCTTTGAGCAATTTATGAATTTGTAGGGAAACAAACTATTTTTATTTTACATGTTCATGTAGATTTAATTTAGTAGATTTAACTTATTAAATAGTGAAATCAAAAACCAGTTAATAATTAATGTATTTACAGTTATGTAATTTTAATCACATGACCCTGTTTCATAATCTCATGCCTGATGCTTGCATTTGCATAAATTTTTAATTGGATACAAGTTAATTTAACGATGACTTTGTATTATAATTTTTTGAGAGAAAACAAAAATACTGTCACACACAAGTCAAAGAGTTATTCGTTTAAGCTAGATCCTCAAAATATGACATACATGTACACGCCTCTGCTTCTGTATTTTAAGCAAGTATCAACTGATAACTGTGTATTGCACATTAAGCATGAATTCAAAGTTGTCACATCAATAATGTATGATTATAGTATTACTGTACTTACCTGTGTACAGACATGGATTTGTAGTTTACAATATGAACACCAGGCATTTATAAGAAACTGATCACTTGTAACATCAGACAGTTCACCGTTATTTTTCAACCTGAACTCAATACATTTCTAAATTAATATAATCAAAATAAAACAGAAATTAGAGAGAATATAAATCCATGTTATCTGAGCATATCATTACTGTAATAACAGTACCTTTGTAACTATAACTGGTATTTCCCAGTAAAAAATCTCATACTTGAGGTACAAACACTAGTCATAGAAATGCAATATTTGTACTAAAAATTATTGGGGCTCGGAAAGTGATCTTTGAGGGCATATATTATAAATTAAATTGGACGTCAAGGCAAACAACATAATGAACCTGATGAAAGAGCTCCACAAATGTAGGAGAATGAAATTTACAGCTTTTTTTTATATCACTTTATTAAACTTTTCGTCAGTATTATGTAGTTCACCATCTTGATTCTCCAGTAAAGGATTGGGTGATACATAGCCATAGTTGTAATTAAGACAATAATGACATGTTCGAATATTGAATTTTGGTAAAAATGGCAACAAGTCGGTCAAAGTTCAGGTAAATGAAAAACAAATAGATGTGCATAATTATGCATTTCACTATGACTCGTCTTTGTATAAATTTTGAACAAAATTTGGTTCAGCCATGTGCAAGAAATGTTGACGGATGGATGTATACATGCACAAAATCCCAAACATGAGAACTAGTAATAGATCAGGTTACTACACTATCTACCTTGGAAATTAATTGAAATAAGACTATTAGACAAATTTTCAACTGTATCTTTAATGTAAAGATAACATAGATGACATACTAATGAACAACATGCATGTTCAAGTTTAAAAACAATTAGATAAAATGACTAGAGTTCTTGTAACAATAAGAAACAAGTATTGTAACAAGAAAAAAGTTAATAACTAGATAGAAATCCCCCCTCATATACCTTGTCCCTTCAATCTCATTACAAGCAAGAAAAAAACACAGACTTGGTGACATTATTATATACCTGTACATTCTTTAGAATATCATTGACTTCTTTTAGCTGTGTTGTACCAGATTCTAAAACAATACTTCTACTTGTTTTTTGACACAAGATTCTTGTTAGAAATCTCAACGCTAATTCCGGTTGTGGTTCAACTGGTTCTTTAAACTTCACAGATTTCTTTGTTTTACGCTTTGTCTATAAAAAAAGAAAAGCAATTAATAATACAATAAAACAACTACCCAGGTACCGATAGTATCTGTGTTTTTTTAAAGTTTATGATTTTAGGAATGAAGCAAGTGAAAATTGAAAAACGATGTCACCATTGTCTTTGAGTGCAATGCATCATGGGTATAAATTGTTGACTCCATATCTACAAAGCACTATTACTAATTTATAAAAGTTTAATTTGTTGTTCTTGTAGCTTTATAAACAAAATATAACGATGCATTTGACACCTTTGACATTCAAGGTTTCACAGTAAATGCTTCTGTACTGGTCTATGATCTGTATTTGTTGTTTTCAATGAAAAAACAGAGCTTTGACAGATATTAGATTATTCGACTATTAATTTCAAAAATACTTTGACCACTCAAGGCCCAAAAGAAAACAAAAAACTGGAGATCATACCAAAATATATCAAACATCTTTAATTACAAGACATTGTGAAAACTCCTATTCATTTTCTTTCTTTCACTTTATATAAGCATATAA